AGGGGTTCTTGACACTTTACCACAGATAATGACAAAGAGTTCTATTATGATTGAAAGGCTTGGAATCAGACCCGAGTACCTTAGCGTGGAACAAGGAGGGAATCGGAGCCGTGGAAAGAATGGGTTTGAAGGGGGAAAGAGTGTGCTTGGATCAGAGCAAGCATCTAAAGTGTCACAAAAAGTAGTGTCTCGTGTCCTAGCAAATATTGGCTTTGAAGCTTCTTCAGAAGTCCCATTAGAAGTCATGGGTCAATTACTATGTTGCCATATTTCTAAATTGGGGCGTACCTTAAAACTCCTTTCCGATAGCTATAGAAAAAAATGTACGGCCATTGAACTACTAAAGATGTTCCTTCAAACATCTGGACACAGGTCTGTGCAATGTGTTTACCACTAGTGTGTGCTGTTCTTATCACCCCACCTCCTGAAACACACATAGGCAAATCCGCAAATGAAAGTAATGTTCTTTTTATTAGTAACCGTTATTCGGTTAAGCTTCAAAATACCAATCATCAGTTAACTTTTACAAAATAATGTATTCCAATTTTATCCAGATTCGCTCTTTGTATAGGACCTCACCAATCCAAGTGTGTTTGTATTTTGTCTTTCTCTGCATTTTGTACAATTTTCTCCTTCATTTTCAGTAATGTCGGAGCTTTGGCTGATCTTGTGAAGGATCATAGTAGGAATATTACTCATCAACCTCCGCAACAACTGCAAGAATTTCAACCACAGTTGCAGCCTCCACATCAAATTCAAATCCGTCAAACCCCTCAGGTAATATAGACATTACTACAAGAGTGTAGTTTGTTTTTGTCTGTTTCAATTTCATGTCAAGGGGAGTTTGTTATTTGAATTTCTTTTGAACTCAATTTGGTCTTCAACTATGCAACTCAGACTCAAACCAAGTCCCCATGCATATTTCACTTTAATTAAGACAAGAAGAGCATTTTCGTTCATAGAGCTGGATTGGTTTGAAATCACATACTCTCTCAGTCCTTGTTTTTTAGTTTGCACGGTTGAGATTTGCTCATAAGAGGGAAACTTTTACAACCACAAAATCCTTTCCCAAGAAGGAAAGAGTAGGTAGAATAGGGAAGGTCAAGAAAAGGAAAGAATGAAGATTAGAAAGGGACAAATGGATTGCTGAGAGCATGGAAGCCAAATTAAGTCTGAAATTAGGTCTAAATTTAGTGCATAGATAAGATAACTTATTTGAAACCAGATATTTTGTGAGGATCAAATTGGGCCTAAATATTATGCTCTACAACCAAATGTAGTCTAATAAAAAGTTAAATACTAAATTGAGTAACAGTTATATAGTTGAGGAGTTGAATCGGTTATTAGTTTCCTCTGAAGGTGGAATTTTCTTATAATTTTGTGGAAATACACAGTGACCTATGGTACCAGCATAGTTAAAGAGCTACTTTTAAAGCCTTTTGTTTGGATATATATTCCCATTGCCTTCCACATGTCACCACAAACGATAGAGTACAATTTGTTCTGCTGTTTTTTTGTTGCTACTCAAGCTTCATTGTTATCATAATTCTGTGATAAATATTTTACTCACTATGCAGATTCCGGCACAAATGCATATGATTAATAGTAATCCTCAAAACCCGACATTACAGCAACCCCAGCAGCACTTGGAAAGAATGCGTCGGCGGCAGCAACCAAACCCTCGCTCTGTTAATATGGGTATGAATGCAAATGTTAATATTGACAAGGACCGGCCACTCGTTGAAGTTAAGCTTGAAAATCCAAGTGATTTTCCGATGAATAATAATAATGCATTGAATGTGAGAAATGCACAGTTAATTGAAATGCATTTGCGCCAGCAACATCTTGCAGCAATGCAATCTACCCATCCTCAAACTGGAAACCAGTTTAAGCCAATGGCTAATCCTCAAATTCCTCAAGTTCACTCACCGTAAGCTCCATCTCTCTCTCTCTCTCTCTCTCTCTCTCTCTCTCAAATAAGCTATCTAGGAAAAGGAAAAAAAATGCCAAAGAAAGTTACGTTTGGCATTACCTCAAAAAAGCCTTGAAAAATAAAATATGCTTTTGAAAAACAATCTGCATATATTTAGAAGATTTCTTATTTTTGTATAATAGATATATATATAAGGGAAAACTGTCAAATAAGTCCTCATACTACACCAAAAAAGTCAATTTCGTCCTTGTACTGAATTATCATCCAATTAAGTCCCTAAAGTTTTAAAAAATGTTCAAATTGAACTATTAGCCGGTAAACAACCGGTAAGCAGGTCAAATTAGACTTGTAGCACTCCACGTGGCTACTTTTTTCTTTTCTTTTCTCCCGTCTTGCTTCTCTTTCTCCAGCTCCAACCTTTTTCCGACAAACCCCACATGGCCTAGTCGCCGGCAACTAGGGAGCGAACTCACCGGAAACCCATGTACCAAAATGGAAATTCCTCCCGGAGAAAATATCACAGGAAAACAAGCTTTTGTTTTAAACAGTTAAGTCAAGAAACATGAAGCAAGAAAACAAAAGCATAAGACAAAAAATGAAACGGCATGAAAATGGTGAGTATTAAATTGGCTTTGTTGAGTCTGATCGTCGCCATCGCTGACGTCTTCTGTTTCGGTCTCCAGCACCATCACTGATGTCTTATACCTCAATTTCCATCGCCGGCGCCCTCCTGTGATTTGATAGGAAGAAGAAGCTTATTCTGCTATGAATGAGGAAAAAGAAGAAAAATTGATTGCCCTTACCATCGCTGATGTCTTCTCCTTAAGCCTTTACCGCTGGCACCGTTTATTTAAATGGAAGAAGGAAGAAGCACATCGGGAGGAGAAGCATTCTGAGATTTGCCTGGGAAGACACAGAAGGAATTAACGTCAAGCACTTTAATGGGTGTGATGTTACTCAAAAACCCCTTTATTTTAAATTATTTTCATTTTGCTGATGTGGTACGTATGTGGCTCCACATGGACAGTCCAGATGTACACTTAACCGGAAAACTTATTGGTCACAGACTAAACTGCTAATTTGAACAATTTTAACAAGTTTGAGGGTCTAATTGAGTGATTTTAAAGTACGAGAATCTAATTGAATTTTTTGAAATAGTACGGAGACTTATTTGACAGTTTTCCCTATATATAAATAAGATGAGTATCAAGTATGCATCAAGTATCAGTCTTTTATTTTCCTGCCACATTTTCATTCCTTCCAGTTTTTTCTATGTTGTCAGTTGTCCTCGACCTTTTGCTTTCTGTATTATTTCGGATTCCATCTGAATCTTTTGGATGATTTATGATGGATATTGAGAACTCTAAATCTATCATTTTGCAGGAACATGGGAATGGTTAGGGCTCAACCAGTAAAGGTTGAAGGGTTTCTGGAGTTGATGGGTGGGGAACCTACAATCAAGCATGACTTTGAAGAAAACAAGCTGACTTCTCCAAAGTAGCTTGCACAACAAGCAATCATCATACATATAGGGATACGGTATTAATATGTTGCAGACCATACCACCTAGTACGGCATTTTATAACTTGTATTAGATATAGACACACGTTTAACCTTTCATCCCGCTGTGTGGATAAAGAATGAGGATGACAACAGTTGGGTATCATTGTCATTTAATCTTCGGCATTGACACATGTTCAATAGATCAATAAATTGTTCATCAATGAGGATGAGATTGAGTTTCTAAATGAGAAAGCTACCATTGAGGATAGTGGAGCAGCAATGCCACCCAGTCACCCACTATGCTGGATGGTTTCTCCTACAAGGCTCATTCCTACCAGGGGAGGACCTAGAAATTGATTATGGGTGCCAAAACTTGGATTTTTTTTATATCTGAGGGGTCAAAACTTGATGTTCAGTATAAAAGTAGGCAGGTCTTGTTCTATTTCTGATGCCGCAAAATTTACGCGGTTTTGTTGTGCCTCTGTCACAGACTCGCAGGAGTCGCAGCGGCCACACCTGAAAGCTCCAGGCCTCTGCAGGCTTGCAGTGTCACAGCGACAATTGGACTCCCATGTCCTACGCGGCTCCATGCCTCCGCGGCTCTGGCTCCATGCCTCGCCTGAGTCGCAGCAGAAGTGGTCTGACAGATTCCAGTGAAATCCTAGGGGTTGGTGAGATTGTTGGTTGGAATGTTTCCTTCACGTTTTAGCCTAAAAATCCTTCCAAATCCTTAGAAATCCAAGCCTTAAAAAATCCATAGAATTAATGAGGTATCAGAATTTAAAAGTATTCCATTGAATTCCATGTTGAGGATATCAAAATTTAAAAGGATTCTAAGAATCCTTTAAAATCATGCAGAATTCTAATCGCGGACACCCCTTACTATTTGGTGATTTCAACTTTCCACTGTTTGAATGTGGAGTTTCGGTCCCCAAGCCTCATTGTCTTTTTGCTAGGGGAGCATTTTCTGTTTGATTATCGTTGTAATAAATTTGACTATAGCAAAACTAACCTCCTTGTAATGAAAATACTTATTGGAAACTTAACCTAGAAATTGCACGTCACTCTAAATCTTGATCTCGGATTCTCGGAAGTTCAAGTAATGGAGAAGTTAATAAATTGCTTTCATCCATTATATGATTATTCACCCCTATCACCCTATGTACGATGATGGTGGAACTGTTGAAGAATGAAGTTGTGATCCCATTTGTCATACCACATATTTTTTCCCCGGTTATTTTCCTCTATTGTGCATTTCTTGATTTTTCTACGCAGTATTATGTATGTGACTAATGAAGTCATACATAATACATATAACAAACAGATCTCTAAGACAAGTTATGGAGTAACTATTTAAGAAAACTGAAAATTTATTGCAATAATTAAGAGAAACACATACATCAAACAGAATAAACTAAACATTGCCAAACACAACAACATTACATTATTTGTATTCTTATTCTTACCAAATCAAAATAGGATTCAAATAGATTTCTTAAGTTTGTTCCTATGTTTTTCCAAAAAGGCAATTAGATCTTCAATGCATTTGTCATTTAAGTTCTTATCTCCAAAGATCAAACTCATTCTCCGGGCGTTCTCTCGGACTTTCGTCCCCTTCTCGCTTTCAAGCATCACAAACCTTACTGAGTCAGCCACTGAGTCACTCGTGAATGCCCCGTCTTCTTCATCTCTCGGGACTTCAATGCCGACCTGGTTGTCCTCCATAACGCGAGCAGTAATCCCTTGGTCATATAAGAAGGGAAGCATGACTAGTGGGTGACCAAACGTGATTCCCTCGATGATAGAACTCCAACCACAATGAGTCAAAAATCCGCCAACAGAGTGGTGACTGAGTATATACTCTTCTGAGGGGCCCAAGTCTTCCATACAATTCCTCGTCCTTTGACCCTCTCTTCGAACCCATCTAGCAAGCCCAATGATGAGTGGTTCTCTCTCAGAGTCCAAAAGAATGGAACCCCGCTCTCTTCTAACCCGCGAGCCAACTCACAGATTTGATCGGGTCCTATAACCACCTCGCTCCCGAGTGCCACGTAGACCACAGAGCATTTTTTGTGTCTATCTAGCCACTGCTTAATGGAAACCCAAGCTTCGTTTCTGTCAAGATCATCACTAACATGGACCGTTGGCGGCATTAACCCTGTGGGAAGCACTGGCCGGCCATGGCTAGCCTCTAGCATATTAACCCACTTAGGTTCGAAGCCATTGCAGTGTCTGGAGATGAGTAGGTCTGAACCTGTCTTCACAGCAAGAAGCCGGTCCCTATCTGTTTTAGCGGTAGCAGACACCTTCTCTAGCGAGCTGAGAATCCGTTTTGCCTCGAACCTGTATATAGTTGTCAATTAGCATACAAATGATCAACTTTTACCATATACTTCGATTATTGGTTCATAACTGTTAAGTGTGTATAGAACGTACCGCCGGAATCTAGCCTTAGTCTCAAAGGTAATGGACTTTGGGCGGGCTAAGAAGTCTTCTATCTTTGGCGGTGAGGACATACTCATCCTGAACTCGTCAGAGAAGAAAGCGGTGAAGCAGGGGCTGGTGGTGATGAATAAACACCGAGAGATCCCAAGCTTGGCCGCAACAGGCGGGAGCCAATCATGGACGAGATCGAAGATGATCCAATCAGGGGAAGCTCTCTCCAAGAAACGAGTCACCTCTGTTTCCATGCCATCCACGGCTTCTTTGAGGTAAGGCATCTCCTCCGGCTGAACGTCCATGGTGGTCTCCGCGTTCTCCGATGACAGGCCATCCACGCGAGGAAGCGGGATCTTGACCATGGCTATGGAGGATTCGAGGTCGGGTGGAAGCTGGGGAAGGCGGTCTATGTTCCGAGGAGTGGAAATGAAGGAGATTCTGTGACCCTTTGCTGCTATGGACTTGGAGAGCTCCAGGAATGGGGTGATATGCCCAAAAGCAAGCCATGGAAACATAGCTACATGAAGCTCCTTCTGCTGCTGCTGCTGTTGGTTGGAGGCCATGATTTTAATGAGTAAAATTTGAGAGACTTGGATCTTAATTACTGCGGCAAACTGTGAGTACGTATTGCATGGTTAGGGAGACTTCTTATAGTAGAGCCATTCTCTAAGCTTCACCTCGTCAACGTCAGCGCATGCGTTGCACAATCTCTACATTCTCAAAGGATAGAATAAATATGCAAATCAAAGACCATTCATTCCGTCTAGAAAGCATCTTTAACTTCATTTCTTGTTGATGCGGTGGGAAGAATATTTTTAATGTCTGGTCTTGTTTTATGCTCTCTTTTGGGACGAATTAGGAGAGAGTAAAATACCATTTGATAAATAAAGAAAATTAGGAGAGTTTCAAAACAACAAATTATTACATGCCAAGTGAATTTGAACAAAAAAAATACATGCCAAGTGAAATAAATAAAATCGGTATTGCTAATGATGTATTATAATCATTAATTAAAGTTTACCAAACAAAAATAATAAACTATTAATGTCTATTCAACTTTTTTTACAGACCATGGAGAATATGGTATTGATATCAAATAGGCCTTTGTAATTACAGAAAAGGTTAATTAAGCCATCAAACTTAGAAAACTCAATTAAGACTTGTTTTTTTACAGAAAGTCGATCAATAAAGTCCAAAAGCTTTCGAAAAATGATCAAATCTATTACGGAGTATTTATTAGGTCAAAACCCGGTTAGCTTGTTGCGGTGTTACTGTTTACATAGTCTGTTTCCGCCCTTTTATTGTTTTTATTGTTGTTTTTTTTCCTTCTTCTTTCTTCTTCCACCCCTGCTCCAGCTTTCTCTCTCTCTTTTAGCCATTAAATACAAACAAAAATACTCAGAATTAGAAAGCGTCAGAGAGGGTTGTGATTTTTTCATGCTCATTTCATGAAGCAGTTTGTGTGCTCATTCTATACAGTTACTATGCTAATTTTGAAATATTATATCCATAACCGTTTCATAAGGTATATTGCTCATGTCATCTTTGTGTTATCTCATTTCCAAACATGATAACAATTCACATTCCTGTAAATTTATACAGGGAATGTGGATAAAATATTAAAATACCATGTCATAAATAAATAAAATTAGGAGAGTTTCAAAACAACAAACTATTATATGCCAACTGAAATATTAAAAAGATCAGTATTACTAGTGATGTATAAATTCATTTATTAAATTTTACCAAAGACAAATAATAAACTATTGATGTCAATTCAATAAATAACAATAATTATTATTAGGGAGAATGTTGAATAGGCCCTTGTAAAAGAGGTCAAATTGAGCCATCAAAATTCAAAAACAGTCAATTAAGTCATTTTTTTAATAAGAAACTCTATTAAGTCCTTAAACTTTAGAAAAATGATCAAGTAGATTATGTGCATGGGTATTTAATTTTTTTTCCCACCCTTTCCTTTTCTTCTTCTTTCAGCCACCCGTTTTTGCCTTCTTCTTACTTCTTCCACCCCTGCTCAAACTTTCTCTCTCTTTTTTAGAAATTAAATACACACAAAAATACTCAGAATTAGAAAGGATGTCGCCCATCAGCATTTTGGGTGTTCAAAGCTACACATTTTCTCCTTAAAATACAAATAAATGAATTATTACACTAATTAACACACATATATTCCCATTACTTTTATATTTTTGGGTGTTCACATGAACATGTACTCTTGAGCCAAAGACATCCGCCACTGTCACCCATGGCTATGGAAGCGTCAAAGCAGTTTGTATACCATACTCCTGGATGTACGGTCAGCCCCATATATATATACATCCGAACATAAGTGAGGGATGTGTGACGGCACTATAGTCATTGTGTGTCTCAAAATAAATACAATACTCGCACTAATAAACGGTAAGGTTCGTATCTGCAAGGAAAATAATATTTCTCTTTTGATAAAATAGTAACAAGGAGGATTTTAATTAATTAAATATGAAGATGAATGATATAAATGAGTTTAATTAATCGAGAGGGAGACTTGGTTTTGCTTATATCCACCTAATGAAATGTTCGTCGATCCTGGTTGTATCTTTAACTATCTTCCTCTCGAATACTCAACCGTGGAGTATCTCCAATTCATTGAGGGTAGTTATTATTAACGAGACTTATTAATAACGAGATGCGTTCATTAATAAAACTTACTATTAAGTCAATATAGAACACGCGTCGTATATTGATCCGATAGTAGCAATAACACTTAAAATGAAATCGATTGAGATTTTCAACCTCAACACAAGCAGTTTATTGGTTTAATCAATATAATTAATTCTCTTTAGATTATTAACCATGAGACACATGCAATAATAATCCAAGTTTACTACCGTTGAAAGGATCGAAAGAATAATAAGAGTATTAATCGATCGATTCTAATAATAATTAATATATGAAACAAAACTAGTTGATCCTTTGAGTAATGCTCAAAATATTATATGGGATATAAAATAGGAATGTAATTAATATTTAAGGAAGATGATTAAAGAAAATAACTCACAACTTACAAATTAATAAGCTTCAATATAGCAAAACCAAGATGGAATGATTTAGCTCCTCATTTGGAGACTAAACATACTAGAAAATATAAAGGAAATACTTTTCTAAACTGAATTTAGAAGTATATGAGAATTGGTGAATTTATTAGGAAGAAAAAAGGTGTATTTATAGGTGTTTGAAGGTGGCATAGCTTGGTACCCGATCGGGTACCTTTCACAGCTTCCTGGAAACTGTAAAAAGCAGGCATACCCGACCGGGTGTGTCGACGTACCCGATCGGGTATGATAGCAGATTGTGGTAAAAAATCGCCATGCATGTTCCTTTGTTTATTGGATTTGATTCAATTCGCATGTCAAGTCTATACCCGATTGACCGGGCTGAACTTGCAAGTGTACAAGTGCCGATATAGTAATAAATTCCGGTAAAATACCGGGTCGAATCCACAGGGAAACGTTGTTTAATTCAAGTCCGAAAGTAGATAACTTTAAATGTTGAAATGAGTAAAGTGCAGGGATTTTGAGTTGTGTTTTATATTTTTGGCTTTTCACTTTTAATTCAAGGAAATAACCTTGATTAATTCGGATTTAAGATGAATGATAACAACGGCTAAGGCTTCGGGAATCACTTAAATGCTTTAATAGGGTTGAATATTAGTTCTTTACCAATAATTATGAATACGATGTCGCTAATATATTCTCAACTCCGGTTAAGGCAGCGAGAGCGTGGTTTTCGTTACGTGTAAGTCCCGTTACGGCTTACATTCATCTACCGAAAACACCGTTGAATATCAAGACATCACACCCGTATCATATAATACCGGATATATTTCTATTCTCGGTAATATATATGTTTATCCTTTAATGTTCATAGTTTAGACTTCAACGTTAATTGCAAGCATAAACTAAGTTTAACATACTTCTATGTTGTACACCATAGTCATAAACAATCAAAATGTAAAGGATAAATGACAATTTATTGGTTTAGAACTTTTATCAAACACCTGGGCATAGAAGTTCATCCCTAGCCAATGACGGAGTCAGGATGTAATGTCAATGGTGTCAAATAATATACCAACAAAAATTACCCTAAGGAGCACAGATCATATCAGGCCGGCCTAACGCGAACCTCCGTCAAGCTGAGGCCATTTAGGGCCCTTCCCGATAAAATTTTTTGATCAGATATTTTGAGCAGGTTCTTCATTAAGTCTAGTTTATGCCCACCAATTTTCTGCTAAGATTTCAACCGGGAAAACAGTTAAATATTTTTTTTACAAAAACTACGCTTTATATATAAACAACGCAGTTTTTGTAAAGAATTTAGTTAACTGTCTTCCCGATTAAACTTTAAGCTGCAATTTGGTTGGCAAAAAGCAGGATCGCTGACAGGATCGCTGCTCTTACCTAAGAGAAAAATAATGTGAATTTTAAATTATGAGTATTATATTATTGTTTTAGTTTCTTATTAAATATTATCAACATTATTTTTTCAATCATACATCAAAAAACTTGTGAGGTTGGAAAGTAT